TCACTAACGTGAAAATATGTTTAATGGGTACGTGAATGTAAAGCCTATATCAGGTTGTGCGCTGTCTTGGGGAGGGTGGGGGGGAGGAAGGGGGGAGAAAAACTTTCAACTTAAAAGCATATGGAAGTGATTGTTGATAAGTCAAAATAAATTAATAAAATTTAAAACAAAAACAGTGAGTGAGTGCTTATGTGAAAATAGATATCCTCTCTATAATGCCAGACTCTTGATATGTTGGTTAGTTTTGCTAATGGTTCTCCTTTCCTACCTCATCTCTGTTTTATTCTGAGTTACAAAGGATAGCTCTCTGGCAAGGAGAGAAGGGAAGGATACATTAAAAAATGTGGCTGATGGGAAAACAAAATATATCAACAAAATTTTATTCAACAAAAAATAAGACATTAGATAACACATTCAAGCGGGACTTTTCTACGGGATCTTGGCTAGAATTAACAAGCAGCTTTCACAGAAATACATCCTCTGGCAAGGGAAAAGAGTAAGCATGTATGGGTCATATCACTATTCTCAGTCTCAGTTTTCCCATCTGTAAAATGTGGATAATAATAGCACTCACCTCCCAGTAGTCTTAGGTACTTTCAAAAGTACAAATCCAAAGAGGCTCCCTCCAGAAATAACTGTCATTCTATCAAACACTGTGGCCTCAAGCACTTTTCCAAATACAAGTCCACTGACCTCTTATACAAATGCAACAGTTACCCCCAGTTCTACAATAAGATGTTAGGGAAACCTAAGATGGAAGAGTGGCAGAATATTACAACATTTTTCACAGATTGTTTTTTTAAAAGAAACTGGGTACCTGCAAGTGAGGAGACTGATTATAACCGAGTCTCCTCTAGTTACTCAAACAGCATTTAAGTTGGGAGTTCCCATTCTGAGTCTGGGAGAAGTACAGCTCATGTCCAAACTGCATTTGTCACTCATTGGTGGATTCACTATATTTCAGGGTGAGTTGTACCAGCCACAAATGGCAGCCATACTTCTGGCATTCTGTGTGCACCAAAGCAAGGTGCGAGAGGACCTTTGATTTTTCTGGCAACAGGCGTTTCGGACATCTTTCCCTTCTTCACCATATTCCAATATACTCATTCCTGGGAAATCTCATCAAACTGAAAGATCCAACCACCTTTGTTACTCACACCCATCCGTACGTGGAAGCATAAGCTCTTCCATCCAAGGAGCTGGACGGACATCTCATTTCCCACCTGGCTACACTCGTTTTGGACGTCTGGTGGTTCTTCCATCACGTCCCTTCCCCTCCGTTTATGGGATTCTTTTTGTGTTGTCTCTGAGGGCAGGGACTGCTTTCCTTTTTGTATTTGTAAACCCTTTGGCACTTAATATTTATTGTAAATTGTTTATTATTGTTTATTCAATATACAGCTCCTTCCAATCGTTCAAATAATGTATTTTTCTAGGTTTCTCTAGAGTCTTGTATTTGTACTTCAGAACGCCTACTCAGCAGCTAGGTGCTACAGTGGATACAGAGCCAGACCTGGAGGCAGGAGGACCTGGGTTCAAATCTAGTCTCATATACTTATTAGCTGTGTGACCCTGGGTCAATCACTCATCTGCCTCAGTTTGGCCATCTGCAAAATGGGGATAATAATAGCACCTACCTCTCAGAGTTGTGAAACTAAAATGAGTTATTAGTAAAATGCTTTGCAAACCATAAAGATTTACATGTATATATATCTGGTATTTTCATGAGAAATGCTTGAGAAAGTCTCCTATTCCATTAAGGATTCATTCCTCCCCTGCACCTCACCTCCTTCCCTTAGGATTACGCTCAGTTTTGCTGGGTAAGCCTTTATCTTTTGCCTTTTGAATATTGTATTCCTAGATTTCTGGTTTGTTGAACATGCTGCCAAATCTTGTCCGATACTATGGTTCCTTAGTATGTGAGCTGCTTTTTTCCCAGATGTTTGTGGGTATGACATGGACGCTCTGGATTTTGGCTGTGACAGTCCCAGGACTTTTCTTTTTGAACTTCCTTTCAGGTGATTGGTGGATTGTTTTAAATTTTTATTTGGTCCTATGGCTCTAATAGAAGCAGGCAGCTTTCATGTATGATTTCTTGAGATGTGGTATCCAGGCTTTTTTTTTTTAAATGGTTTTCAGAAAGTCCAATGATTTTTTTTCTTCCTTGTTTTCTAGGTTAGTTGTTTTTGATATCATATATCATTTTATATATATTTTCAATTATTTGATTTTGTTCTAACATTTCTTGCTGTCTCATGGAATCATTGGTTTGTTTGGTCTATTCTAGTTTTCAGGGATTCAAGTTCTGCTTTTACTTTCTCTTCTAAAACACTTTCAATTCTTTAAGTTTTTATGTCACTCTAAAAGATCTCGGGTTAATTTCTTCTGGGTATTCACGCAATCCTTGTGAAATCCATTTCCCCCTCTGAGACTGCTTGCAGTTGCTGTGGAGATTTCAAGTCATTGTTGATACTGGCTGATATTTCTTTGATTCGTGCATCTCTGCGGCTTTAGTTCCTACATTGGAATTTTTTGCCAGGTCAAGGCTCTGCCCCTGCTCTGCTTTTAGATGGGGTCCTGCTAGGCCTTGTTTTGGGTCTGTCTCACCCTCCTGAGGCTTAGACATTCCTGGACTTTGCTTAGGTGCCACCAGACCGTGTTAGGGACCTCAGAACCCCTTTGCTGAGCTCTGCAGCACAGTGCGAGCTGTTTGCTGCCTCTCCCAGGACATATAAACTACCTATCCTGGGGCTTTTTCAGGGCAACCCACCACTCCTGCTGCCTTGAGACAGAATCTTGTAGGCTACATATCTCTGGTTGAGTTGGAAGGCGAGTCTGTGTCAGCCAGCATTGGCTTTGCTGGTGGGATCTCCTTTCCTATTGTCCGTGGGCTTCTCGCTGACCGCAGTTCTGGGGTTAGAGAAGTCACTGTAGTTTTTCATTTAATTTCTTGGTTGTTATTTGGTTTGATGTGAACTTAGTTCAGGGTTTTACTGGAGTTGGTGTGGGCAGCTTGCCTCTCAGTTCAGGGGGCCATCTTGGTAGGGAGTCTAGGGCTAAAATTTCTTGGCTTAAACACAGGAAATGTGTTCTGAATAGTACTTCCATGATCATGAACCCCATTTTCCCTCTCTAAATTGTGCTATTTTAATCAATTTATAACAAGAGTCCAATACTGGCATTACTCATTTTGGTATTGTTATGTGTGTAAAAGTCAGAGAGTTGAAGAAACTGAATACTCACCCACAGCCAACCTGGGAAGTGATGCCCTTGATTATCCCTCCCCCAGCACTCTTTCAAAGACCATTTTTGGGGGACGGGACTATATTTTTAATGCAGGGCTTCAAAAAACCCTTAATTTTAGACTATCTTTGTTCAGCTAAGCACAAGGTTAAGTAACTAGGACAATGGTAGACACACAGCAGGCATCAAATTTACTGGCCAAGGCTCTAAAACGGTGTTTTCCTAACTCTTCTTCCTAAAGTAATCAACCATATGTATCGCAAACCCGGCAACATTAGTCATTCCCAATCAACCTCTCCTTCATCTTTCCTATTTCGTCTCCAAAAAGAAGTTACAGTTTGAGAAAAGCTAAATGATTGCTTTGGATCCTTCAAGGTTCCTTCCAGCTCAAATTCTTTTTGATTCCGTGATCAGGCAATGGCGCCGTCTTAATACAGAAAACGGATCTGGCAAAAGATCATTCAGTAAAGACTCTGCAACATTCCCTGCACATCATCATACCAAGAGAACTTCAAGAACAGATGAGTGGAACCACAGTCATGTAATGGTCACAATAATGATAACAGGTAGCTAGCATTTTAGATAGCACCTCCTACGTGCCAGGCGCCGTGCTAGACATCTTACAAATGTAACTGATATGCACCATGCATCAATCCTGGGAGGCAGGGGTTATTACTATCCCCTTTTACAGTTGATTTTCCAAGGAACCCCCATCTTTTTGATTCCGGGCCTAGTTCTCTATCCAGTAGGCCACCTAATTTTACGTCATGTGTGACGTGTGATATTGTCCTATTTCTGTGAACACTGTGTCAGAACATTATCTACGTGAGGCTCATGCTGAGGCAGAAATTGAGCCTCCAAGTGGATGAAAACACAGAAACCACCACAGCTACTGGTGATGAGTGTTCGCCAAACAAAAGTTTCTGCACATAACATAAAAACTAACAAAATCATTTTAAAAGCTGCCTCATGCACAAGGTTAACACAACTTGGAAATGCTGGGAACGGTTTTAAGATCTGCACACATTAAAATGAAGCTACTGAAGGTTAAATTATTTTTTAAGAGGTCAGAGTAAATGCAGAACATTAAGTAAGGAGGAAACCATCATTTAGCTGAACAGGGTGAGTTTCATAACGACCTTCGGAGATGTACATCGCTGTACCACGCAAAAGAGAGAAGACTGTGCATTTCAACGTTCCAGTGCATTAATCTTTTTTTTTTTTTGCTTCTTGGTGAGGCAATGGGGGTTAAGTGACTTGCCCAGGGTCACACTGCTAGTAAATGTCAAGTGTCTGAGGCCGAATTTGAACTCAGCTCCCCGATTCCAAGGCCAGAGCTCTATTCTCTGCGCTACCTAGCTGTCCCCAGTGCATTAACCTTTTCAAGGAAATCTTCAGGGTAGGCGTTTAATATACTGAACACATCTGTGGTTCTTAAAATGCTTGTTCTGTGTTGTACTGAACTGATTGGCATTGGCTTTAATTTTTATTTTTGTCTTCTCTTTTTACAGTGCTTTTACTTCCAAATATCCTGCCCTAACCCGTGAACCACCTCTTATAATGAAGATTAGAAGAGAAAATGGTTCAACAAACTTAGCTATCACATGAGACAGTACAGGTGTAATATTTTACACCAATCCGCAAAAGAAAGGAGAGAGGTCACCGGCCTTATTGTAAAAACTGGCCCACTCTGAAAATCTTAGAAAAACCTGGTTTCCTTTGTCCATATGGGCAAAAAATTCACATCGAAATCCAGGTAAGTCACAGAAAGCCTTTATTACCACAAGGAGAGATAATAAAATATTGGAGATCACAAGAGCTTTGGCAGTGCATTTGGAGAGAAAATGGTGGAGGGGAGGAAGGGATGATGGGAAACCAATCACTTCCACTCTTTTAGACAGGCCCGGTTGATTCTCAAGGAGCTGTTTCCTGGGACTGAACAAGAGCGAATAGCTTTGTGCTGCTCAGGGGTCAGCCTTGCTTTGCAGGCCTCCTCAGAGAAAAGGACAAATGACGTGCAGAGGGCATCAAGGGCAGTAGCTGTACACCACAAAATGGAGATAAAATGAGGCCCATAGCATCAGTAAATGTATTTCACTCTGACAGTAAAACAAGAGGGAAAAAGAAGTACTGTGCTCTGTTGAATAGCTTTTCCTTTAGGTAGATGCTTTTATAAGTTAAACACTGACAGTGCCTTTTCCCTTGCTAAATACAAGCTGCACACAATTTCCAAGCCAACTTTTAAGGGAGTTACTATGGTTATCTTACGTTATCTGTTGTTATTATTTGGATTTTGAACGAAATTAATAGAGTAGGAACCAGATGAGGAATCTTGCTTGATCTGGAAGTTTTCTGTGGATAGTCCAAAAGGCCGGAGAACCAAGTTCCCAAGATCTTTTAATTTACCTGCAGTGCAAAAGAAAAAACTGATAAGTAAGGGAAGGAATCAGAGACAGGGAGAAGCCAAGTTACCTTACATTGCAACCTGAAGACAAAATGCAAAGCAAGCCTTAGGTTAGCTTTCCCCTTCTGGCAAACAAATACCTATTAACTAAAGTACCCGATGATGAATTCCAATAGTTTCCAATTCTACTCTTCCATCAAGGCCAAAATAAGAGGAAGTTGCTGTCTCAGCTATGTAGTCACTTCAATTCTGTACCCTCCCCTAGACATGTTCTCTCAATCAGAAACAGGAGAATACTGCCAGCTCTTCTTTGAAGTTCGCAATTTCCTGTCTAAACAGGCCAGAGGTATCAATGAGCTCTTACACTGGGTGAGGAAAAAAAATCTATTGTCTGTAGGTGGAGAACATCATTTCTGATGGGAGAAAATTACTGAGTCTCACGTTTCACCGTTTAGACCAGAGTACCCTAATTCTGATTGTACTACTTGTCACTCAAAATATTCTTCCCCTCTATTAGACTGCAGTTCAACCTCAACTGGCCCATGCTTGAGCTTCTTTTCTGCAATTCCTCAATAGCTCTCGTTAAACTGAACTGATGGGGCGGGGCAAAGAACAAGACAAGAAGACACACAGGAGAACATAGACTTTATTTTCTACAAAGGGAGAGACAGTATCATACTCATCTCTGTATTCTTCCCCTCTCCATCAATACTTGTACAAAGCAAGCACTCGATAAATTATTTGCTTCCCTTCCATACAAAGGTTGAGCTGCTGCCCATTAAGCAAAGAAGAGCATTTAAAATCTTTGAAACCATTTGGATTTGGAATAGATGGCCAGCTGCCGAGGGTAAACATCCTCCTTTGAAAATAACCAATACTATTAGATAACTGGGTCATCACAGGATATTATTAGCTGAAGGGAGTGAGAAGAAAGCACCAGAATTTATGAATACATTCTGGGAAAATAATGTGGTACCTAAATAAACCCAAGCAATATCAGCCCACTCAGGGGGTTAACACATCCTACAAAACACAGGTTCAATTCATGTTGGGGCTGCTTTGGTTTTGCTGGCAATCTGGCCTAGGCCTATCTGACAAAGAGTCCCTCAGATCTTCTGGGGAGCTGGGTTAGGGTCACTTTAAACCAGCACAACCTCCCATTACCGGAAAAAGAATTCTATAAATAGGTCCACTGATCTTTGTATATTAAGGATGAATCATTTTTATTAGTTAGCTTAGCAATGGTTTTATATTAAGCAACAATACTGTCCCAAAGGGCACACATATAAAACACAGAGCAAGAAACAGCTACAAGGGAATAGTAGAAATGCTCAAATATGGCATGACAGAAGTGGAACATTGTATTTTGACTCTGCCTGATCCTTTACTTCTATAGCTGGCTGACTTCTGCCCACAGAACAACTATGCATATTCTCTCTTTTTAGATGCCACCTCTGGCACTACTGCTCTGTCTTCTTTTTTTACATTCCCCAGCTTGTGTAATTATCCCTAGGCAAGAGTTCGATCTTTCTGTTTACTGGGGAGTCTTGATGGCTACAACTACAGGTCAGGCTTCTCTCACCTGCAGAGATCATCACAATAGTCTCTAAGTTAAGGAATGACAGGAATTGAGTATAATTCATGTAATAAACTTTTGCCTACTGTATTCGAGGCACTGTAGATGAAAGAGGGGGAAAAAAACCCAAACATTTCTTTCCATCGTGGAGATTCTAAAGAGAAGATAAAACATTTGTATGATGTATAATATATCCAATACATATACTGTACATATAACACATATGATGTACAGTTCAAAACAGCAACAACAACGAGTAGCATTTCTACAGCACTTCAAGGCTTGTAGAAGTGCATGTCCGAGGCGGAAGCAGAGCTCCAAGTATTCTCGGCTCCAAGCCCGGCTCACCCCTGGCTGCTTCAAATACAAGACAGAACAACGGGAGCTCAGACGAAAGGACGAACCTTTTTTTTTTTTAAACTTAGGGGGTGGAGCCAGTGGTAGAAATCAGGCAGCCAAAGTGACATGGCAGAGTTCAAAAAATGAACCAGCTTTTAAGATGCAGAAATGAAGAAAGGGGGGTGGAGATGGAAGGACAAATTCTGGATTTTAGATGAACCACAGAGGGGAGCTGTGAAGAGTTAGCGGCTTCAATAACAAGACCACTTTTTAGGAGTGCTAAAGCTCAGAATGAAGCGAGGCTGGTGATGAAGGCTAAGGACAATAACAAGGGCTTTTAAAAAGAGTTACGTTGGGATGGAAGTGATAAAGGTAATAGAAGAGATTCAGCTTATTCTACTTCTGCTTTATCTGCCAAAGCATGATCTTGGATTGTAAAGGAAAAAAAACAAAATACGGTTAACAGGGAAGTAGCCCAGGTATAGTTATGCTTATTTGGCCTCTGAAATTGCCTTTAGCTTTTTCTGTAATTCCGAGATGAAACCCCAGATAAAGAGATAATAAGAGACAATCTAGCTGCCCTCACATAGTTTAAATCATCATTTCAGGATGTATTACACCTCCCCAGGGAATGTGAAGGAGAAAAACGGCATTTTTTTTTTAAAGAGAAGAGAGTAGAGTTAAAACTATAGGCCTGTAAACTTGACTTCTATTCCTAGTAAAATTATGGAAAATATTAAAGGAATGGTTTATGAACATTTAGAAAATGAACAGTGATTACATAGAGTCAGCACAGCTTGATTGAGAATAAGTCATAGCAGACTAACAATTTCTTTTCAGACAGGATTATTAGACTGGCAAATCAGGAGAATGTAGCAGATAAAAGTTTAACAGTCATTATCCAATAACAATGCTGCCCCAACTCCACCCCCCCACCCCGAGTGCAACAACGTTAAGTAAAATCAACTAACACTGTAACCACATCTGACAGTGTATGTAACATTCCCCAACAATAGCTTTCTGCTTCTATACCAAGAGCAGGGATTATTTCCCCATCATAAGAAGTGTTTGAATGAAGGCTTGTAGGATATATTGTAGTGTGGCATCCTTTACAGTCTGGGTTAGACGGCTTCGGTGGTCCATTATTAGATATGTATCTAGAGTATCTAGATGTATGTATCTATATGTATTTAATCTGTATGTAGAGGGAAGCAGCAGAACATAAAGGCTAAAGATGTAGCTGAAAAGTCTTGAATGCTAAGCCTGGATTTCATCTTGGAGGACATAAAGACCAATGGAAAGTTTTGGAGCAGTACAGTTATGTGTTAGAGCCCTGTCTTAGGAAGATGACTTTGGCAATCTCTGCAGGAGTGATGAGACAGATGAAGCTACAGGTGGTAAGCTTAATTAAGAAGGTGTTATCACAGTGCAGGTAAGAAGGAATAACAGTGGGGGCAATGGGAGAGATCTCATGTGAAGTAATATCAATAGGATTTGGTAACTTCAAAATTCTGCAAAAAACCCCTGACATATGGACATGGACACACACACACACACACACACACACACACACACACACACACACACACACACACACACACTCTTTTTTTTTTGTTTCTTGTTTCCTATTCAGAGAGTTGTCCTGGGTGTCATGGGCTTATTCCAACTTCCCTGCACTCAAGATAGGTTCACTTTCTAGATTCACCAATCTGTTATACTTTAAAATCTGACTGCCAAATTCTACGCCTCCCCATCTGGGAAACAATTAATTAAGTGTCCTCATTTCTACTTGCGGCATGATCACTCACCAGCCTGGATGTTTCAATGAGTCCCTAACTTGTAGGAATTTCACAAGGCAAGAGACATTGTTTTTCCTTCTGAAATCCCAAGGCAGAAAGGGTTGTCCAGAATGTTGCTTGTATTGCTGGATAGGCATTTTCAGCCACTACGAGTGTGTGCTTGCCTTATTTTTTTTTAAAAGATGAATGAATTTCAGCTCTGATATGTGGTAATTTTTGTGCCTTCCAGTAGCATTAAGACCTCTCCTGGTCAAATATGCTAGTATCTCAGCAGATTCATCATACACAGTTCAGAAAGTACAGCAGCTTAAATTTGAAACTATTTTGCAAGTCAGCTGAAAGGAATAACAGAAACACCATTTGTTTTCATCACCTTAACATCACTGCTGTTTAATACACAATATAACAACTACTTTGGGGGTTTCCTTTCCCTCTAATTAGAAGGCATGAAGAGCTTAAAATTAGATCCTGACACCTCATTTCCTCTCTCATGAAGCACAAAAGTCTTAGCCATGCAGTCAGTCAATTCTGGATTTTCTGTAAGCAAAGAGATGGCCTAGTCCTGAGAAAATGAACTCCATGCCTAATGTAGAGTCACACATTAGCTACTGGATAAAAAGGAATTTGGAATCAGTCTTTCCACAGACAGTCCAAGGAGCACCAATGATTCCTGGGCAGAGGAGCTAAGAAGCAGAAAAGTGGGAAACAAGAACAAATCAAGCCTCTAGATCATTTACAAACAGGAGAGCTCATTTCTCGATAAGCAAGAATCATCTGAATTTAATGTATGAACTGCTTTGCAATAAACCACATACATAATGAGGAGGAGACAAAAAAAAAGAGACATCTTATGTATAGATCTATGTGACTGCCAGAGGTATAACTGTAATTAGGATAAGGTTTAAAATCGTTAAGACTTTAGAAGGTAGCACTGAGGGAAAGTGATACAGAAAGTCAGAACGATTTTCACAGTTTCTAAAGAGGGAATAGTGATTCCAGTTAATTCTTACTGAAGGCCCAGTAAAGCCAATATTTCTAGAAGAGAAGCAAGAAAAGACAGTCTGTCTACATGTAAACAATTTGTTATTAGTCCCAACAACACTGCGTCGGTTCAAGAGACCACTGCCTATTACTTCCATCAACCTTTTAGACTTAGAATCCATTCAAGACAGTCCTCTCAGTTCCCTGCATGCATGTGCCAATCAGATGGTCGGGAATGGCAGGGCAGAGCCAAGAGCCCATTCACATACCTGAGCATCCAGCACAGGTGGAGTCACAGGAGATGGTGGCACTGAGAAACAAACCCTAAGTCTCTCAGCAGGCTCATTATTTACTCACTATTCCAGGCAGCAGAGGTCAGCAGAACAGTAGATGAGTCAAACAACAGGGATGGTAGGAAGAAGGGGACAATACAAACCGAGGCCAGCAGGCAATATATACCTACACACAATCCCAGAAGTCCTGTTTTGGTTTCCTGAAGGTGCAGCACGAAGCAAGGGTAAAACAATGTTCACTAGCATAACTTCACCCTCCTCTGGGCTCGCTATTTCTACTCTGGACAGAGGTGACGAGGAATTCCACTTGTAGGCCAAACCACTGCTTGCTACATGCCCAATTCCATCGCCTTGTTACTCATCTGAACTGGATGACAACTGCCTCCTGCTCATTACCCCAAAACAGATTTTGTTTCAAGAGTGAGCACCTAAAATCTAGACATGGTGAACTCTTTAATCTTCAGGAAAGAAATACCAGTGCTGCCAAGTGCGGAGAAGGCCACGCACAGCCCCTTTTATTTTTCAGACGTTTTCAGCTTAGTTCATCTCCATGAAACTAAGAATCAAAACAGAGCCTAACCAAAGGAAGAATTCCTGCTGCTCACCCCTCTTCCTAATTGGGAGCTATCACAAGCATCTGCTCTGATTAGCAAGGAATTAACTGTCATCCTGAGGAATCTTCCTGAGCCCTAATGGACCGTATTAATAAATGACAGAAACTGTAAAGCCCACTAACAATTTCCATAAGGACAAGGTGCAGTAAATGGCCTCTGCTTTTTTTTCTTTTTTCTTGCTTTTTGGTGAAGCAATTGGGGTTAAGTGACTTGCCAAAGGTCACACAGCTAGTAAATGTCAAGTGTCTGAGGCCAGATTTAAACTCAGGTCCTCCTGACTCCAAGGCCTGAGCTCTATCTACTGCACCACCTAGCTGTCTCCTCTGCTTCTAATACAAAGGAAATACAACCACACAACTTTATATTTTCCAATAACAAATAGCAGCAGCTTTTGCAGGTTATTCTCAGCAAAATTACAGCCAGTTCTTCAGCCATGGCTGTCACTCCCTTGGGTACCAACACTAATGAAGTATGTAGCAAACTTCAAAAAGCTGACAGAGAAACTATATTTAAGGAAATAACACTATCTTGGGCCAAGATCGATTGTTTTCTTCCAAAGGATCTCAAAGCACATCAATCTTGGTCAGTTCAGCTGTAAAACAGAGAAAAAGTACTCCAAGGATCACTTGCGCTAAGAGTCCATGTGGAAACTGACTTTTCTTCCCTTTGCAGTTTATAGCAGGGTCACATTTAAAAGCAATATTTTAATGATTTCTATATTTACTTTAAAAATATGGCTACTGAAAAACAGCTGACATAACAATAAAAATTAAAACATATTACTAGCTGTAGCCCTTAAGTCTTCTGACAGTTAAGTACCAGATGAAAGCAAACAAGGGAATTTTGTGTGAAACAGAGGCACTGGAGATAGCTGGCAGATATCTGTAAAACCAGTGCTGCTAAGAGAGGAAAAGGACTTTTCTCTCAGGATTTCTATCAGCCAGGAGAGATCGAAATTCTGATTCCACAGAGGAACAATGGGGCCAGGTTCTGTCTGCAGCTAACTGAAAGGTCTTTCTGTATTTGGTCTGTTTGAAAAAAACAAACCAAAACAAAAAACGAAAAGAAACAAACCAAAACAATGTGTCCAGAGAGAGAGAAAGTACTCTGCCAAGCAGACTAACTGCCTGAATGGAACTTGTTCCCTGAGCAGAAAGTCTAGGCTAGTAGCAAACCACATCACTTCTCATAGCCAGTCTACAGGACTTTTCAAAACAAGATAGGACTTCACACTTTGTATGACCCACCAGAAAATCTCCCCTGAAGTCATGTAAGAACGAGTGAATGCCTCCAAGTTACCTTTCCATTAAAGTACTATGCTGAATTTATCATAAGTAGCTATTTTATTGGAATAACAGCTCCCTCAGATTGAAAGAACGCACTTACCTAACATCTCTGCCTTCAGTTTTTCGTTCCGTTCTTCAATTTGCTTAGGTAATCTCTGAGGGAGAAAAGAGAGAGAGACAATAAAGATATCTTTCTTATAGATGAAGTTTTTGGTTAGGTTACTTTGAAAACAATGATTTAGGGCCCAAAGAGGCCATATGAGCTTCATGAAGAGTGTATGGCTTGATTTTCAGATTTCAAACTACCGCTGAAACCTATAAATATGCTAGGTATTTCCCATAAATAAGGCAATCCATAAAAAGAATTTGGGAGGTCAAATAAGAATCACTACAGCAAACATGGCGTAAAATGGAAATCAACACAACTCTACCTATATATAGAACACACCTATCACAACAAATCCTTTCGCTCTTCCTACTGTGTACCCAACCGGTGTGTCCACAGTGAGAAAAAGTGACAGGCTTTATGTTTCCTAAGTGAATGTGGCAAAGACGACGGTAGGTTCATGTACTGCTCGGTAGTGTGGGAGACGCAAAAAAGGTCAGAGAAATAGGTTGTAAACAGAAGGTGCTCACCTTCTAGAGACCTCACACTAAGGGATACATGCTGAGATAACAAAGCTCTGAGAGGAATCAAACGGCCAGAATGTTCTTCTTTGAAAATCTCCTTCCTGAAGTCTTATGATTTTTTTTTTGGACCAGACCTGACATTTACTGCTATGTGGTACATATATACTCATGGTGAGGAAATCTCTAGTATATACACAAGGACAATTCTGTGACTAGCAGTCTTTAGACTGCTATACTGCCACACTGACTGGCCCAGGGTAACAGCCAAAGCCAGAATCTGTCACAGGGAGAACTCAAACCCAGGTTTTCCTCACTATGAGGCCAATTCTTCACATTGTACACCATGCAGGCAGCTCTTTTCAAAGTCCAATTTTAATGCCTCACTGTATCGAGCAGACTCTGAATTCTTGAGGGCTCAATGGGAGTAGCCAGAGTTCAGAGGCCCATCGTTAGAGTTACCCCAGGATGAGGAATTTTTTTGGAAACAGCAATTCACAAAGACCTTCTTCTGCTAAAGTTACAATCCACATTAGGGAAACCACATCAATGAAATCATGGCTTTGAAGTATAACAAAACTCTAAAAACCTGAAATGCTATCTATGCTCCTTTCTTTTATTAAATCAAATTAAGTTAGCGCAGACTAGCTTGTGCTACAGTTTTAAAGAGTAAAAACATTATAAGGCCAATAAATAAGGACAAATAAATCTTTAGAGATTAGAATACAATATAGACCCAAATGCCAGAAAAGAATATTATGTAAAGTTACTTTTTTTTTCTGGAGAAACTCTCTCCTCTGTGGGAGAAAAGGCATATATGAAGTTCAAGGAAGGTTTTAATAATTCAATCAAGTCAATCTGCATGGATTTACTATGTATCCATATGCCCGGAACTATATTAGGCAACAGGGATATGAATTTAAACAATAAAACAATCCCTACTCTCAAGGAGCTCATACTGTCTTTGAGATGCTACAATGCATACACAGGTAGGTAAATATAAATTGCCTAGTCTCTCCCATATAGGTACCAATGCTGGAAATATATATAGTACCTGGGTTGCAAGATAACTGCACCAAATTATCAGAGAAAAAAAAATTGTGACTACTTTTCCCAGAACTGGAGCAAATGAGCTGCTTCTGGATGACAATGCAGGAAATACTCTTCTCACTTAACTTGGAAATAAAAACACTTTGGAGTGGAAAAGTTACAGCATACCTAATAACACCGGAGGGTTACATTACTTCTTTTTCCTTGGAGACTCACCTGTTCTTCCCTTCGATAAACAGTGTTCTTGACATATCAATGCTTCTCTTCTACAACTGCCAGATACGTTAGCTGTAGACTACTACAGCTTGGTTTTTTTCCTAACGGAATCTTAAAGAAATCAGACTTTGAGTAGGCATGATATCGTTCCCACCATCTGGAACCTCAAGGAGGAGGGACAGAAGTGGGCACATTTTGGCTCTAAATTTTGTACTCAAGGAACAAGATTTTTGGAGGAACCATTTTTGTCTTTGACAAATGGATACATGACATACTACTGAAGCATAATTATCATCATCAAATTAAGACACAAACTTATGCATTAATTTCTCCTCACAAACACTGGCATGAACCTTGTGAAGAGCCCACAACTCTTTATCTTTTCCATGTTAGAGGATAGCTTTAAGGATGTGCTTTATCCTACTAAGTCAAATTTTTTTTTATCATCAGTAAGTAACAAACTCACTGGGAACTTTTATTTTCTGCAACTTTCAGTCAAGTGTATAACTGTAATGATATGTGGTCTTGCTATAAAAAAACCCTCCCAAAAAGCCTGATCAGTTTCTTCTATTTTCATCAAATATACTCTTAATACATGTGCATTTCCTTAAAAGTTTTACAAGGATGAGGAAGCATGCATATGTGCAAGAAGTTGTTGATGTACTTTCAGTTAAATGACTTTTTTTTTATAGTAATGGTGCTCATGATTAAATTTTTTAAAAAACTTCTTTCTAGTAATGGTGCTCATGATTAAATTTTTTTTAAAACTTCTTTCTCTCCCTTAGAGATATTGTATAAAATGATCCCTCAATATTTTCAAGATTATGCTGTTTTCAGGATAGATTTATCTTTATATATAATGAGTTTGGTCCAGACACACTATTATTCTCAACTTTCTCTTAAATTCCATTTCTATTTCTTCATATGCCCTGTTAAGATGGGGAGAGAGAGGGGAACTGAGATGTTAAGAGCCCAAACGAGGTGACTCCATTGTCACAGATAATGAAAACAGACTGTTACTGAAATGCTAACATATCTATCATATTTAATATCTATCTACTGCCCTCTTCCTATATCTATAAATATTGGGTCTCACACCAAGTTTTCTGCCCTTTTCACTTCCATGGCTTCTTACTGTTTCATGATGCAATACTGCTCATTATCTTTTGACATGCTATGTTTTACAAAAAGGGTTTGCTTTATAAATAGAGGTTGCCATTATCTCTCCGCTCATCAAGGGGATACAAGAGCATGTTGGCTAAGGAGATGCCTAGGCTCTTGTGGCCTAGCTGTGGCATTACTTTATATCAGAAAGTGGTGATCATGAAGGTCATTATCTTTCTTTCCCCATTTCTCATTTTTCAGTATTAATGGCTTATCTGGAGAGGTCAGGCAGATGCTGTTGCAACCATATGTAGTATATTCTTCTCATCTTTAATCTTTCTTCCCAGCCAATGTGGAACTTGGCCTTTGTTATAACCAATTAATGATCTGATCACACAAAGGCAGCTGATTCTGTCAGTTTGTATGAAATATTATTCAATGCTCACTAATGTCCAGGGCTTTCAGACATTATGGAATTGAATATGGCCTCAAAACATCTTTTAGAAAAAAATTTTTTTTTAAAAAAATTCCTTTTGGATTTTAACTCTGCATCCTCAGATACTGAAATAACTGGTAGATGTGACTGGTACTGTGAATTGACATCAGAGAAAATGGGAGAAAGAGCACACAAGCCTGGAAAAGGGCAAATGTCAAAAAGGGAAGATATGTGAGACAGAAAATTCTAGAGCAGTGAGCCTGATTTATTCCTAGGAAAATTCTAGAACAGATTATTAAAGAGATGTTTAGTAACTATCTAGAAAAAGAAGTGGTGATTGCAAAGAACTGGCATGGCCTGGAATAGGTCAGGCCAGACCACTGTTATTCTTTTTTTTTTGGACAGGACTAATAAACTGGTGGACAATGGTTTAACTAGATTTAGAGATCGCTAGACAGTACAGTGGAGAAAGCAATGCGTTAAAATTTAACCTCAGAAACTTACTGTCTGTGTGACCCTGGGGAAGTTGATTAACCTGTCTGCCTTAGTTTAAGCAACTGTAGAGTGGGGCTGGTAATGCCTGCCTCCCAGGGCTGTTATGAGATCACATGAAATAATCTTTATAAAGTGCTTAGCAGAGTGGCTGGCACATAGCAGGCACTTGAAAAATACTTATTCCTTTACTTAAGAGACAGCATGCAAAACAAATATCTCATGCTACTTTTGTGTTAAAGATTAGACATGTGGATTTTAAAATAGTGTATTTACATGAATTCATAACTGGCTGAATGACATGACTTGAGAGTAGCCATTAACGTTTGCATGTCAAGTTGGCAAGAGGTTTCCAGTGACTCGTCCTTAGCCCTGTGATATACGTACCTTGGAAAAACACATGGATAGCATGCTTATCACATCCATGCATGATGCAAAGCTGAGAAGGATAATTAAATAACACAATGAAAGACAGCCCTAAAATTCAAAAAGATCATGACAAAATTGGGCTGAAATGAATAATTATATTCCTTTACCTTACAATATGGATAAACATAATGTATTAAACTTAGGTTCAAAACATAGGCTTCACCATTAAAAACGAAAGAAGTATGGTTAGACAGCAATTTATCAGAAAAAATATTTGGGGGTTTTAGTGGACAGGAAGTTCACTATGACTCACTGTGTGAATCAGCAGTGTTATGGCTGCCAACAAAATAAATGCTATGTTAGGCTGTATTAAGAGAAGCACAGCTTCCAGGAATAAGGACATGGGAGTGCTGTTATATTCTACTCTAGCGAGTTTAGTACTTTGTATCTCAGTATTGTATTCAGTTCTTGGAGCCATGGTTTAGGAAATATACCAAGTTACTCTCACCCAGAGAAGTATAACCAGGATGGGGAAGAAGGGACAAGACATATTAAGGCTGGTTTAAGTAACTAGGGATGCTTAGCTTAGAGAAGACTTCGGGGGGAAATAACAGCCGTCTGCAGTATGTGGAGTGCTGTCCTATTTCCACTAAGAGGACACGTTCTGTTTGGTTCCAGCATGCAGAAGTAGGAGCATTAGGGTGGACAGTGCAAAAAAGGACAATTTTAGCCCTGCTGTCAAGAATCACTTCCTAACAATTAGAGCTACTCAAAAGCACAACTGGCATTTTATCCAAATTGATTTCATTCATATAAAGAGGGTCACTAATCCATACATGTGGGTCCCTGAGGGCCGTGTAT